CATGAGCTCCTTCATATCCCCAAGTCCTGCAGGCTGGACTAAAGTAGAGAAAGCCTAAATACAGGTAGGAAAAATGAACCTTGCCTTGTTGTGGTGACTGCTGCCCCTCGTCACACAAGCATGGAGATCCCTCCCAGCATCTTTGGGGCTGGAAACCTCTCTGTAATTTACGGACGATAGCTTGAGGGTATGTGCTGGTGGCCATGGAGTGATCTCCAGACTTCTGTGCTGTGGAGATGAAGAGTAGAATTTAGCATGAGGCAGAGAAGGGAGTGGAAAGGGAGGGGGAAAAAAGGAGAGGGGAAGAAAGGAGAGAGGGAGAGAGAGAGGGATAGAGGGGGAGGGAGATAGAGGGGGGAGAGAGAGAGGAAGAGAGAAAGAGGTGGAGGGGAGAGGAGAGAGGAGAGATGGGAGAGGGAGAGAGGAGAGAGAATGCCTCCATTGCCGGAGGCCAGGGCAAGTTCATTCACAGTGCTGTGCTGGGTGCATGCCCTGCCTGGCTCCAAGAAGAAGGGAAATGTTACCTGCAATTGCACAACATTCCTTGGTTTTACAGAAAAGTAGAAGTTGATTTCATATACACCAAGACCAGGCAGAGAGGTGGGCTTGAGACATTTTAGTGCAATTTAAAAAGGAGGCATCATGACAAATCTTTGATCAGCCAGAGTCTGTATCTCCTGTAGCCATTGCCTCATCACCCACTCCCTGCTCCTTTAAAACAACTTGTTGTTATTATATATATAAGAAATACACAACACACACCTTTTCTGAAAATAACCACAATGTAACTGAGAAGGCCTAAGTGCCCCTTAGTGTGAGCTGGTCTTCTGGAACTGTCTGTATGGAACCATGAGAGGCCCTTGGATCCTGGCAGCTGGCTGCTACCCCAAGGGAGGTGCCTGCTGTCTGCAAGACCCATGATTATTGGGCTCTTTTGGAGTACCCCTGACCCAACAGGTTTAATTATGGGTCTAACTTAGGTGCCCATGAGGGGAGTCCCTCAGGTATTCTCTGTGGCTGTTTTTAGAAAGCCATGTTTTTCTTTTGGATCTGAATTGTCAGATACATTGGCACAACATTATGTATAATGTCCTCTCACACCTTTAAATGTGTATAGAACCTCTACCTTTACCTTTTGTGCCTTGTGGTACTATGGGCTTTTGTTCCTTCTCTCTTTGTGGCTGGACTCAATAGTTATATTATTCTGGCTTTCTTGGCCCACTCATTTGCTTTCTGGACTCCAACTCTGTCTGTTGGGCAGTTGTCCTTTTGCATGCTGGATCCATAGTGGAGAGTCACTGTCCTTCTGGGTGTGGTATATGCTGTTTCTCATGGTGCTTGCCCCTCATGAGCAAAGCTGTTTTCTGCTGTCCCTGAGCCTGGGGTCTTGCTGTGGGTTCCCACTCTGTCACCAGATGGAGCAAGAGCCACTGCCTAGTGTGTGCAGCTCATTCCTAGGCCCTGGTGCCCCACTACCCCCCTACCCACCTGCCCATGAATTCTGCCTGCTCATTTGGATCAGTTAATGCTTGTCTATGCTTTTTCTCCTAAAAGTTGACTAGCTTATTTATATGCCCTGCATCTCCTTCCATGTTCTTTTTTTCCTGGTTTTATACCATTTCTTCCTTTTGCACTTTCTTGACAACTTGCTGGAAGCAGCACAGAGCATCATGTTCTATGTGGTCTGAGGACATTTTTTGCATGAGCATATCGTTCAATTTTGGCTTGACCTCCCAGCCAAAGCCACCTTCCTCATGCTATACTTGCTTTCACACATGAAGGAAGGAGGCTGGGCTGTCTTGTCTGCTGGGCTTTCAGCAGTGACAGGGCTCCCACTGGGTAGTTCCAAACAGCTGTCTGGAGAGTCCCTGTGCCAGGCACCAAGGCCTGCCTGCTTGCGTGCCTGTGGTTCTTTTATCCAGAACTCATAGTTGGGCCAACAGTTGGCTCCTTACATTGCTGCTGATTTTAGACCCCTATTCTTTTTCAGAGATATACAGGACCAGAGGACCAGAGTTGAACTTTAAGGATTTTAATGATATTTAAAACATTGATTTTTGAGCATGAAAGGCTATTTTTCTTTAAACAACAACAAAGTTATTTTAAGAGGAAAAGGTTACTTAGAAGTTAGATGAAGGCAAACAGATTTGAAGATCTGCAAAGAGTGATTATATATTTGGACTCATGAGATGAAGGTTGTGACTTTCATTTTGCAGTGGGACTCGGCAGTCTCTGGGAGAGCAGGGACATCTCAGTCTGAGTAAATAGGTAGTTGTTAAAAGGAGTTTCTAACTACCTTTCCTGGGGATTGTCTGATTTTGGAGACTACTAGCATTACTGTGATTGTTTTTCCTAGAAAAGGCATCTACATGTCATATTGCTATTTAAGGATCAAAAAGCAGCTTTTAGTGATACCAGCAGCTCAATGAGTGACTCCTGTCAGTCTCGAGAGCCTCAAATAGAAATTTACTCTTCCTTATATATCTCTTTTACATCTACAAAGCTTAATTCCATTGGAGTTTCTCTGGGAATATAGCAAGCAGGATATACACAAAGCAGAGCAATGGAGAGGGGCACAGAGTTCTGGCGGGACTTCATGAGGTGATGTAGCAGTTTATATCATAGATACTGGCATCTTGGTCTAAGCCCCCATGTACTTTTCACTTTCTTTCATGATACCCTTTCTTCTTCAGAGCCATCTAAGAACATTCTGCAGAATTCTAGGAAGTTGAGACCCAGTGAACTTGTTTGCTGAAGCCAAGAAGTATGTGGAAATTGTTACGGTTGTCTGTGTGCATCAAGGAATCATATCTAGTTTTTATTACCAGCTTGCCATATGCAGTGTCAGTAATGCATGAGGAAAGAGGGCAGTGAAGAATGTCAGGTGGGACCTCTCTCCCTGGGGAAATCTGTACCCCCTCTATGACAGATGCCTTGCTGTGGAAAGCATGAAGTCATGCACAGGCCAGGATATAGTCATGTTGCTTCAGAAAGTCACAAGAAGCAGAAAGATATGTGTAGCAGAGCCTGTACTGATTTGTTAATGAGATGAGAGCCTTTTATCTGTTGCTATGGCCACTTTGTGGCGCTGCGCTCCTTGGCCACTGCCCACAGGGCTGTAGGATGACCTTGGCTGGTATTATACCACAGGCTAGGAAGTTTTTCCATGGTACCTTCTTCGTTTTTTTTTTGGTACCAGGGGTTGAACTTGGGTCCTTGCGCTTGCAAGGCAGGCCACCAAACCACTGAGCTGAATCCCTGGCTCCATGGTGCCTTCTGGTAGATATTGCTGCTGCAGAGGTGACTCTGTGATCCTGGAGTTGGTACTGTTGCTGTGTTTCATAATGTTGCACCAATTTTTAGAAATAACCCTAAGTATTAATATTTTTTGTTAGAATTTTCCTCCTTTTGATAAATGTATCCTTATTTTTATGTCACAGCTTGAAATCAAGCTGAGATATAATCTCTCCTGCCTGGTTCTGGGCCACGTGGAGGTGGACTTCATTTAGTGCCTGCCACTGAGCAATGCAACTGCTTGGGCTCCTTTCTGCACTGCAGGGTTTGTTGTAATGCATCTGGGAGTAGGTGATGTGGAAGAGTGCAGAGGCCATGGGGCTGTGGGTGATGTACTCAGTGTGTCCGAGCAACTTCTAAATCTCTGCTTCAAGGTGGTCCTATGGCTCAGGATTGCCTGTGAGTCTGTACTGCTGTTGTTGCCCTTGGCCTTGTGGTGGCAGTGACCCCCTAGCTGCTGGTTCCTTTGCCCCTACCTTCCTACTCCCTCTTAAATGCTCTTCCCACTGTGTGAAGCTTCTTGATGCCTTTTGGGGCGCAGCCACTGGTCAGTAGACTTCCTTTGAGGTGCTGCTTGCCTTGTGCTCCAGGAGGTCTTTTCACCCTCCAGTTCAGGTGATAATTGGAATCCCTCCACCACCTTGTGTGTGTCCATTTTCTTTTTCTCTTGGGTGAGATAAAGGTCTGTGGCATGGTCAGGTGGCCACCAGGACTCAGAAAGCGTGTTGCCAAGGATATTCACTGTGCTTTTCTTTAGTGTGAAAAGTTTAGGATAGATTTGGCACACTGAGTGGGGGACAACGAAGTGAGAATGCTTACTGGTGATATTAGAAACCACATGCTTTCAAGGACCTGGGAACCTTGATGATGGGCATGGTGAGGCTGTGAGGATAGACCAGTCCAGGCTCAGGTCACTCAGATCATGTGACCTTGGCCGAGTTGCTGCTATATGCTGGTATCCTCCTGTGCTCTAAATAGGGCAGCAGAGTGCCACCTTACAGGGTTGCTTAAGGATATAAGTTGTGCATTCCTGGTGTTTCAGACAGGACTGGGCACCTAGCACATGTTCATATATCAGCTTCAATGATGCCCAAAAATGAATACAAGTCTACATGAGCATGCATATGTTTACACATAGCCATACACATGCTGACACACACTGACACATTCTCGTTTACATCTTCACACCCTTGATACTTGTACACTTTGCATGCATATGCTCATGCACCCTTGTGTACACATTCATGTACATCTACATATGTATTTGTGTACTTGTTTATACACCATTCACACACACCATGTGCACATCCTCATGAATATATACTCAAGCACATGTTCGCAGACACATATGTTCACATTTGTACCCTCTGTTAGAGATATACTGAGTGCTGAAGGTAGTGCTGAGATTATGACTCATGTCTTTTTTTTCTGAGGTCTTTCCAGGTGCTCTGTAGTGAAGTACTATTTTTCTATAATTAGAGAAAAATCTCCTAGATTTTTGAAGAAGGTTCTAAGAAATTCTGAATCTTTTCTAAGGGATTTATAATATTGAAAATACAGAATGAAAATAGTGGGAAGCATTACCATGGGTTCAGATTTTTCGCCTTCACCCTTGCTTGCCACTTGTGGGGGTGCCCAGCCATAGGGGTTACTGTGTAGCTCTGTGATGGTTGTGTGCCCTGACCCTGTGTGCTTTTCCTCCCCAGGTGGTGCACACTCACAAGCCACACTTCATGGCCTTGCACTGCCAGGAGTTTGGAGGGAAGAACTATGAGGCCTCCATGTCCCATGTGGACAAGTTTGTCAAGTAAGTCTCAGGGCAGGTACCAGTGGGCAGTGGTATGGATCTGTGGATTGGGTTGTGGTTCCCACCTTTGCCAATGGGACTGATCTGTGGATTAAGTCACCTTGGGGAGTTAGAGTTTTCCACAGAAAGAAGGCATGGCCCAGATGTATAGTAGTTACTTGCCTCCACAAGGGCAAGCATCTGTGGTCTCAGACTAAAGGTTGTAGCCCTGGGGACCTGGCAGAGCAGTCCTTGTCACTGTGTATTGAGATCATACTTTGCATGGCTGGATGCTAACCGGCCTGCTGTGGTGGATGACAGGCAGGGCTAGTTTCCATGCAGCAGCATCCGTATAGTGAGACTGGCAGCTTAAGCTGCCCAAAAGGTGAAATTTATGTCATTCAGGAAGAAGGAGCCATACGCATGGTGGCAGCTGCTATGTGGTTCCTTAGAGGACAAGTCCATCTGGGTCCTACCCGAGAAGAAGAGGTGGTTCTGGGAAGTGGACGTGTAAAGGTGCAGAGGGAAGCAGGTGCCCAGCTCTGAGTGCCTCTGCCCAGAAGTGGGGACTCATGTCCACTGTCCTCTTCCTCCTCTTCTGAAGTGTGGAAGCCCTGTCTTCTTTTAGGCACTGTTGCCCATTCTCCCTTTCTCAAGTCTTACTTCTGGAAACTTCTTGGTGATGATCAAATTCTCTTACCAGGCAGTGAAGAGTAAGGAGCCAGGTTGTCAGAGAATACTAAATGTAATTTCTAATGGGAAATGGACTGAGGTTATAGAAGGATGGTGAAACCACATCAGGCTTACATAAGGATCATTTGTTCTTCCTGGGATATGGTTCTGATCATATCCATTGTCTTGGAAATGCTTGAGAAAGAAGCATTAGGGCCAGGCATTTAGCTCAGTGATTCCGGCGCCTGCCTCACAAGCATAAGGACCCGAGTTTGATCCCTGGTACCAAAAAAAAAAAAAAAAAAAAA